TTAGATAATCTTGTTCTAATCCAATTTTCCATCGTCGACATTATTTACTCTTAATATAGAAAACAAAAAAAAAAAAGAATAACAATTTATTCTTCCGAAAAGTGTATTTATAACTATATATTAAATTTAAATAACAATAAGAACTAAACGTATGGCATAAATATGTTTGGTTAACTGGCTAACTTTATTGTCAGTTTGAGAGTTAAAACTTGTCATTAGTGAAGATGTTGACGGATGTTGACTTAATTTTAAAACCCTGACATATCGATACATTATCGATAAATATGTGCATAGAGATACTGATAATGTTGGGATTGCCAACATTATCATATTCATTGAAGAGGCAGAGAAGAAAAAGAGAAAGAAAAAGAGAAAAAGAAAAATAGAAAGAGAAAGAAAAAGAGAATAAGATGGTAAGTGGTGAAACCATAGATAAGGAAATAGTTCACTTGAATGATCGTAGCAGGGTGTAGAACTTCTAGTAAAAGGTTGCCGATATAAGAGTTTAAACCCATTCATATCTTAATCTTTTTTGGATCTTGAACCCATTTATGTGGATTTATCTGTGCTTGAACCCTTGCTCTACGGCAATTAAAAATATTTGCACAGAGCTCTAAACATTGGTTCTTAAAAATTATTATTGATTTGTCCCTAAAAGATACAAAAAAATATATATATATATTTTCATTTATCATTTCATCACTGATAAACAGCTTTCTTCGCAATTGCTGAAATGTTGCTTATATTTTAAAAAAGTTCAAATAACAAAGACAATGCAATAAAATGTTTATTTAGCTATGATTTTGTTATTTTACTCGGTGTAAATTTATGAAAAATAACACGCATGCACGCAGTACACCAAACATATTATCATTAACACTTAACGGATTGGCTCCGTAGATTTTCGTGTTCTTTACGCGTTTAAAAATACTAAAAGCTTTAATAAATACGATTATAAAATGTTAAATTAATGTTATAAATTATTAAAATTCATTTAATATTTTAATTTCCTGAATTATTTAAGGAAACTAGATGCAAATACAACAGATTTGTCACGTGCGTTAACTGTTAAGGTATTTAAAAATGAAATAATTAAAATAGGTTTTTCATAATATTTATTTATTTTTCAACATAATATATATTTTTCATATCTCAGTCAGGCAGGGGTGCTAATGGCTATTTGTCGTTCAAATTAATGTATATTAAATGTTTGATAATTTGACTCATTTAAATCTAATGTAATATGCGTTTATGAAATACTTTGCAAAATAATATTATGAACTACTTTTTGGAATAGTTAGTTATGGACTCCTGTGACAGAGGTCTCTGTTATAGACTAGTTTTTTGTGTGATTCGGCTTTAAGTTGATACAACTTCATTGTTTTGATTTGCATGTTTGACTTTGACATACCGAACTGAATATGTAATGCTCAAAAATAACATTGTTTAACATTGACCTATTAATCATTTAATATACGTTTTGTACATGCGAACATAAATATTAAATATGAATAACTTAATTTATTACGATCAGAGTCCTTCTGGGCGTCATCAGAAAAATTATGATCATAATGTAGAAAACCAAGATTGCGATTTACATAGTAAATTTTATAAAGTTGTGAAATTCGTTGGTGTTTTATGTGCATTTACTATTGTCTCTTTAAAACTGTTTATACTCAATAGTAAGTTTAATATTGTGTTAAATTATACATTATTATATATTAAATGGGTGCAATTATTTTTAACGATATGTTACAAGTTTAACAAACTAAGATATCCTGATTTTTATATAAAATAGATACGTTATATATTTATATACAAAGATATAAGATATATATACATATATATATATATATATATATATATATATATATATATATGTGTGTGTGTAATTATTTATACATATATATATAATTACATCGAGTGTTTTTTAACGAAGATATTTTTTATAGGGCCATATATAGAAAGTAAATTATTTAGCAATAAGTTGGTGTTAACTGAATGGGTTGAAGATGGAACGTCCTACTTTACATACAGATGGACAAAAGAAACTGTAGGCGAGCCATACTTAATACCCTTTTCTGTGAGTGTCCTTGTGACTCTATTTACATGGGTTATAATTTATTTAGATAGTCGAACGCCTGGAGAAAATCCGCCATCACCTTTTGCTAAATCTAAGTACAGGTATTTTAAATTGCATTGATTTTTTTTTCAACTTAAATATTTTTATACCATTACAATTGTATATCTATTAGGAATAGATCTTCAACATTTCACATGGGATACATTATGGCATTATTAAGTGGTGTTGCCACCTTTGGTGCCATGCTGTTTGCAACTTCTTGAGTCAATATGATTTATTGAAAAACATAGTTTATAAATATTTAAGTGCATGTTTATTCAAGAACTAGAATCTCAAATCATTCTGAAACGCTTGATGCCTTAAAATAATGCTTTGCTGTTAATTTAGGTATTTATTTAGATATATGGAATGTATTACTTTAACGTGAGTACAAAAATAATTTTATTTTTACTATCATTTTATAGTATAGCTTATCTTATTTATAATTAAATTATTTATATATTTGTGTATCTGTGAATATAAGAACATTTTATCACTGGTGAAAATAATTAATATTTATTAACAATTAACTGTTAGCTAAAAAAATTTGAAGCCGATTTCTGGTAAAAAATAGTAATTGGATATTTGTACAATGGAATTCATGTATTTGTAGTATTTACATTGAAATAATTTAGTTTGAGATTTTAATAAAGAACATACAGTGAAACATTACTTACTTAATTTGTACCGGGAGAAAGTTCATTATGTGTGAAGTTTTTCCATATAAATGAATAAAAGTAAAATTAATTCGTTGTGTAGTTTGAAATATGTTCCTATAAAATAAGATATATTTCACATATAATTAAGACATTTAAACAAATATTACTAATTTACAAAATAAGGTATTATCTGAGATTCCTTTTTTCCCTTTTGGCGCATGAATTTTTAAAGAAACTGTCAATAGTTGTTTCTTTTATTCTCTTCTTTAAGACCTATCTCAAATTACAGGTAAGCTTCCATTGTACAAATTTCTGATCTTAGCATCAGTTATGTTCAAAAAGTAAATATTTACAAATTCCATTTGACCAAAAAGTCTTTTAAAGACTTTATGCATTACAAATCTGCTGACTGGACTTTTTTTCCAGAGTTTTTGAAAATCCACATTCAAAATTTTCTGAATATCTTTGGGATGTGAATGCGAATTACCCAATAACGAAATGATTTAAATGTTAGTTTTTTGCTAGTATATTTTCACAGAGGGGCAAAACTATCTAAAGTCTGCTTTTTTAATTAATTTGAGCATCATATTTTTAACTACAAATGAAAATGGTTAAGTCTGTTGTGTCAAACGTTTGCGCTCGAAAAAAAAGCTCGTTGTGCGTGGCGTACGTTATGCGGGGTATAACTATAGTTATAAAATATTGATATCAGTTTGGATACACTATATTCACACTCACAAAAATATTGATGCATTGTTTAATAAATAAATACATAATGATCATGGAAAAAAAAGTTTTCAATCTATCTGTGAACATAAGGATTATTATTCATAATTTATTTCATATCAGAAGTTGAAGCATGACAAGGAATATGTTTGAAGACTATGTTGACGCTCACTGTCTTTTCTAATTTACTAGATAAAAAGATTAAAATAGAATTTTGATTGGTGTCAGCGCTTTTACTTGCCACCTTAACGAGATAATAATCACAATCATTATTTGTTGGGTCAAAACTAAAACTTGATATTCTCCAAATAAAAGAATATGTTCCAAATAATTCTATTTAGAGCAGATTCATTTGCTTTATTTTATTCATTAAAGGGGTATTCTAGTGTAGAAATTCAAAAACATCGAATTTTTTTTAATTTCATATTTTCAAAGTTTAACTATCTAAGAATATGGGTACTAGAAGGTTTTTGAAAATTTGAATTATTTTCGGAAATATAGGCATTTTACTGACTCGGTTTCTATACTGGTTTGGCTTCACGCAAAACTTTAAATGCGTTTTTCTCAGTACAGGTTTTTTCAGTACTGTTGGCACGATTTCTCGAGTTCTACTGGACCGATTCACTTGAAATGTTCAGAGAGTCTAGTTTATAGACCTATCTATAGCCCGAACTAGGATTATCCCCAAATTCCAATTTTTACTATGTTTAAAAAATTCGAGAAAGTCAAAAAACAGTAAAAAAGATACTATTTTTTAAAACAGTCGCCAATTTGTAAAAAAAATTTTTTTACTCATCGCTCGTTCGGGCGATTGCGACATCATTGCAGATTAATAATCTTTTTATTTCTTTTATTTCGGATGGCTTAGAAGGGCTGATATCATGTCAAGACTGAGGATCCAATTTTTTGAGACCCCCCACATCATCAGCTGCCAGTTTCTTCAATTTTCAACTTTTTTTTAAATTTTTGTATTGTATTTTAATAATATTAATAAACAAGTAGTAAACAATGGATAGTAAAAACATTCATTGCTTTCTTTTACGACACTTTAAAAATGACCTAAAATTCATCGCTCTACACTAGAATACCACCTCAAAGTTAATAAATTTTTACTACAAAAATTTTACCAAGCCGCATTAAATATTAAAATGAAATATTCAATTTTAAATCAGAAATACGTTATTACGTGCGAATTATAGTAAAAAGTATTATGTAAAATAAAATCTTGCTTAGCTATAATACATAATTTTTATTTTTTTAAGGTTTCTAAAAAAATTCTTTTGGAATAATTTCAGATCAAATGTAAAAATTAAATAATACCACAGTCATTTTGATACTAAAAAGCAACTCAATTTACTTAGCAATTCTTTGTATGTATACAGTATAAATTTACATACAGTTTTATTAGTATTTGATATCTTGTTTGAAATCAACGTACAGAGTTACATTTCAAATTATTTCAATCTGTTTCTACTTTAAGCAAATTAAACCAAAAAAACATTTCTGTACAAAAAATAGACCGACCTAATTATTATCATGCTGACAATTAGTTCAATAAGTGGTCTAAATTATTCTTCTGACACACAATGAATCCGCTTACTGATAGTCGAAGATGTTCTGAAGTTTATTTTTTTCTATTTTCGCAAGATCCTGAATTTCTTGTTTCAGCGAGAAATGCATTTATATCTCGTTCACAATTAGAATAGGCGAGACCTATACCAAAACCTCCGCCAAGAATTATAGGCCATCTTTTCCTTTTGTAAAATAATACAGAGAATACAGTGCCGATGGCGATTCCTCCGCCAAGTTTCATTGCACCATCTGTTAAACAGCGGTCAATTTTTCGTCCCCATTCTTCTTCTAATTGCTTTTCCATTTATGGTTTGTGTAATACACCGTGATATTTTAGAATATTATTTAAATCACTGAAAATTTTGATAAGCGTTGATTGAGAATTTTAACGACGTTTGAATACGATGTTGTTTTGTTGACGGTATTTATTTTGAAATTATAAATCACATATTATCCAAATTAATTATTTAACAAACGGTACGAAAAAAATTGCGGTTCAAGTTGCAATTTGATATACTGAATGCTTATAGGCATATACAATAATCAGACTCATCATTTTGATTAATTAATATACAAATAATTAGAATTAAGTAGTTAAGTGATAGATAATACAATTTCTCAGTTATGTTCAATTTAGTATGTATAATGGACCAATAGCCAGTGAACCTTTTGAATAACGGTGTTCATGTAAGACTAAATTTTTTTACTGGTGATTCTTAGCATTTTGATTACGGAATCGATGATTTGACAGGTTTCCGCCCTGTACATCATAGTCGTCCAGGCGCTTGAAAGTGTAAGAAAAATTCGAAAATTAAACTTGTTCCCGTAAACTCCAAATTTGTATACGATGTTAAACTGCCAGATCATTTCGACCTGCACAAGTATCAGCTAGAGGAGCCCAAAAGTGAGAATGATCGAGCTGTCATATTCCCATCTTTGCTTGCTTGCAACAAAATCGAACTCTTTCTAAACCGGATTATAACCCTAGACTATCATATTGTCTAGGATGATATATTCATCATCCGTTGTATATATGTAATTATCATTTGTTTGTTTCCATTTGAAAACTAGTGAGAGAGCATATGAACTTCAATTACGTAGGTAGCATCAGTTTGTAGGTAGGTATTATTCTGTAAAGCATAAGGTTCTAACCAAAAATTTCAGAAATATCTTGATTTTGTACATTTAACTTACCGATAAGGAAGTTTGTTTTCGCCAGAAAATTCGACCTGCTAATTTTATGTTTTGTCGATGTTTGAAGAAGTTCTGAATGATTTGAGACCAAAATAGGTAAAATTGAGTGTTGGTGCATTTGTGCCGAAATAAGATCTTCGTCGAATCGAATCGATAAAACTAGAAAAAAATCTCGGGTTGTATACTTTTGCTTGACAATCAGCCGAACCGTTTTTTAGAATTTGTAGAAAATTTACTTCAATTTATTTCATACTTTTATTAGAAAGTATATATTAGGCGAGTGTTCTTATTTTGTTTAACTGTTTAGTCAAAAATAATTAACTTTCCAATTTGTACAAAATTAAATGATCTGCAATTGTTTCTAACATTATAAGGTCCTTCAGCAACTCGGGTGTACTTATAAACCAATCCTAATTCATTATATATATTTTTTAATTATTAATTAATATCTTCTAATATTTAAATTTCTAGTAATCGTAAAAAATCGAAAATGAAATTTTTTGCATATCTTAACGTTTCAAAAATTTCTGAAGATTTCGGCGTATCTTAAAAAAATGATGTATCTGTATGTGTTTCTATATGTGTGTAAAATGTGTATGTATCGTAAAAAATCGAAAATTAAATTTTTTGCATATCTTAACGTTTCAAAAATTTTTGAAGATTTCGGCGTATCTTAAAAAAATGATGTATCTGTATGTGTTTCTATATGTATGTAAAATGTGTATGTATGTATATTAAAATACAATTTTTCTTCCGATTTACCGAATATTCGAATTATATTTATCGAGAGACCCAACTCCACGGCTGTTACACTCTCACATTCACTCCCTCCTACCAATTGACATTAAAAAAACTATAGCACATAAAAGAAAAGTGGCAAATTACCCGAAGACAAACAATAAAAATTCAGCAAAGCGTGCAGGGATCTCTTATCTTCATTAATAAATTACAAAAACTAGCTGTAAGTGGAATTCTGTCTTAAGGCAATAAAGGCATCGTGCCTCAAGGCAAATTGCTGGAACTTTCCGTACCAAAAATTATTATTTTTTTAAAAACGATTAACATTTACTTAACGAAAAAAATTTACTTTGAAAAAATAAGATTTTTGAGAAACTATAAATTGGACAAAAAATTACTTTTTTTTGAAAAAAAAAAT